TATACTGATGCTAATAAATCAGGTAAGGCAGGTTATAAATCAGAAGAATTAGTAAAGTGGAACAAAGCCCTTATAATTCTGTCCAGAAGGCAGAATTACATACTATTCTTATGGTATTAAGGGATTTTAAAGAACCTCTAAATATCGTTACTGATACTGATTCATTATGCAGAAAGAATTATATTGCTTATTAAAACCACTGAATTTATAGCAGATGATACAGAATTGACTTCATTATTCATTCAGGTGCAAAACATAATCAGGAGTAGGCTTTGTCCTATATACATAACACAATCTGGTCCCATATGGGTCTGCCAGGTCCTCTAGTACAAAGTAATGTAGGAATTGATCAATTATTGATTGGAAATGTGTTGCAGGCTTCAGAATGTCATTTAAAAAACATCATGTCAATAGCAAAGGTTTAAAGAAAGACTTTCTTATTACATGGCAACAAGCTAAGGAGATTATAAAGAGATGTTCTACTTGCTCTTTCTATAACCAAACACCATTGGCTGTAGGGAGTAACCCAAAGGTGTTCAAAGGAATAAGATCTGGAAGATGGATGTGTTCCATTTTATGGAATTTGGAAAATTAAGATATGTGGACCATAGCATAGATACTTATTCGTGTTTTTAATAGGCAACTGCTTTGAGCTCAGAAAAGGCTACTTCAGTAATCACACATTTATTAGAAGTTATGGCCATCATGGGCATTCCTGCACAAATAAAGACAGACAATGATCCAGCATATGTATCTAAGAAAATAAAATGGTTTTTGCTCATTATAATATAAAGCATATTACAGGTATAACCACATAATCCTACAGGTTAGGCAGTTATAGAAAGGACAAATTGAAGTATAAAGGATATGCTAAACAACCAGAAAGTGATGAAAAATACTCCAAGAAATAGATTGCATAATGCTTTATTAACCTTGAATTCTCTTAATGCTAATGAGAAAGAAACAATGACAACATAGAGACATTGGATACTGAAAAAAAAAACTTCTGAATATAATCAACCCGTAAATTTCAAGGATTAGTTGACCTCACAATGGAAACCAAGAGATGTGCTTCATTGGGGAAGGGGTTTTGCTTTTGTTTCCACAGGAGAAGAAAAACTATGGATACCATTAAAATTAATAAAGATTCGCTTTGTGTAACATGAGGGCCGGCTTGTTGGGGTTTCTGTCCCACCCGGTACCCCACAGCTGGCATACCCCAAAGAAAATCACACGGAGTCTACATTAGGTTATAAACTGATTGGCCCATTAGGTCAGGCTACTTATTACCTCTTATAACTTATATTACCCCATTATCCTTATCTACATTAACCACATGGCTCAGTACCTTTCTCAGCTGGGCAAGTTACATGCTGCCTCTTCGGTGGTCTGCGCAGGAATGGCAGAGGGAGCTTCCTGCTTCCCAGAATACTCCCGTTCTCTTTGCTCCACCTCTACTTCCTGTCTGGTTTTCCCACCTATACTTCCTGCCTGGCCAATCAGCATTTATTTAAAATATGATTGACAGAATACAGACAATTCTCCCACACCAGCTTTGAAAACTGAAACCTCTTGAAAAAGAGAAATGACATCTCATCCATAATGTTGACAACCATACAGGTGGTAAGGAAACCATATTGGGTTGGGACAGGATTTTGCTCTTGTCTTTACCGGAAAATATACATCTTCAAAAATTCAAGAGACCCTGGATATTTGGATACCGAGAGAAGGAAAAATAACTATCCAGTAAGGATCATCAAGAAAAAGGAATATAACTTATGAGGACAGGTGATCAGAACATATACATTGAAATATATATTTATGAATATATAGAGCTGGTTTTGGAGTTGGAAAATGCCTCTGTTCTTCTCTAAATTCAAGCATGTTGTTAAAAGGAACATTCAGAGTTTCTGTCTCATGTCAGGAGCCATCTGGTATGGGACAGAAGGAAGACTTTTGCAAAAATTTTACTTTCTCCGTGCCTATTTTATCTATATTGTATTCCTTGTTGAATGTATGTCTATATGAATAATGTTTAAGTTCTCCACAATGAACAATTGAGTTTGCTGTAGATCTTTTTCCTGCAGTAATCTTTGAAGATTCCAGGAAGAAGATGGGGCCTGACAGCAACAACTCCACCTGGTTGAGATGACGTCATGATGCTGATAGTGCTAGTATAAGACTGATTTTTGGGGGTGTCAGATACTGAAATGGTGCACCTTCTCATGACATTCTGGCCAGAACTCCAAATAAGAACTTTGGAAAAATCTCTATCAACTGCTCAGAAATTGATTGCAACTATACTAGACAGTAATCGTGAAACTTAACCATCACTTTACTTTTACAGGATCTCATAAACAAGACATTGCCCCATGACAGCAGGAAGCAATTCTAGAGGACAGTGTCCTCTCTCCCAAAAAAGTTTGTCGTCAGGATTGGAAACACCATTTAGGGGTTGTTGATTTTTACTTGTATAAGGTAGAAGACTGGGGTGGAATCTATTTAAGTTCGAAGATTTAAAAAAAGGGGGATAATAATAGTGGGTAATAGAGTGAATATTTGTGAGCTATTATTTATGGATAATTTATATTGATATATTTTTTGTATATTGATACAAGTTCAAATTATATTTGTTATTTCTGTTTACAATATTTGTGCTCCTATGCAAAGTTATTCTGTCAGATTGTAAATATGCATGGTTCTACCTCTGTTTAGTACATTTTGTATATTGATACAACTTTTAGGATATATTTTTGCTTCGTTTTAAAACATGGCTTCCTGGGCCCTGTTGCCTGTGCAAACTCCGACTATGGAGCATTTCTGGGCTCAGATGTTTGTGTGCCCGCTCGGGATCGGGAAGAAAGTACTCTGAGACCATGCCAATGGCTCAGCACTCCCTGCCTGCACCTAGGCAGATGGCAAAATCAGGCTTAGGCAGGCGGGAGAGCATGGTGGATTTCTGCTGTCATACACAGAGATGTTTCCATGCTGCACAGTACAGATTAGGCTGTAACTTGAATGAAAAGAGTTCCTGTGCTGCACGCTCAGTCTCAGAGTTAAACTGCTGACTGTGGCTCCCACCTAGTCACCCCAGAGCTAACAGAAATGGTGCATTCACCATTTTGAAATTGGAGAGAGGTGGAACCAACATCCAGTGCAGCCCGTGACTCTGCAGCTCAGAAGCACAAGCGGCTCCGCCATATTTGACTGAGTGTGACAAGCAGGTAGTACCTGTTTTTGACCTACGAATGTCACAGCTTAGATTTTTAAATGCTTAATGATTTAAAACTGCAAAACAAAAATGTTTCTGGATGGTAAAATATTACAGATTCACAATAGGACAGATTCAGACATAAAAGATCTCTAAATGGGTTACACTGTTGGATGAGTGTGCGTAGGCTTGGGAGAGAAAAAAAAAGGAATATAGAGAATAAAGTTAATGCCTTAAAAAAGAGGCAAAGTCTTTAAAGAGACAGTACAGATAGTTACAGATTAAAAAAATAAATAAAAATAAGCCATGTAAAAATGGAAAATTCACAGAGAGTCTGGATTATGTACATTGTGTTTTCTTTAAAATTTTTGACTGTGAAGGAGCTAAGTACAGAGAGACATTTCATTACATGGGCTGCCAAGCTAAACCAGAATGGATATCATAAGGGTATAATGACTTCAGAATTTGGGTCTAAGAATATGATGTTTTGGAAAAGTTCTTCTTTTGTTTTCACAGAGGATGAGACCCTATGAATTGCTTCTATACCAATATGGTATGATAGACCACACCCTTCTGAAAGGTTGCACTGAACACCCTCAAAAATTACTTCACTCAACTGCTGAGTGAGAGGAACCTAGCACACAGATTATACCATGAAAGACCTGATTAACAGCACCCCCATACAGCAGGAAGCAGTTTGGAGAGAAAAAACTGTGCCCATGTTCCCAAATATTGTTTATAATGTTCTTTTACATTTAAAGGGGGATATGATATAGATATAAATAATTTGCATTGATAGAAATTTAAGGTCAATTTTGTTATATGTATATGTATTTCTGATCTTGATTAAGGTATTGTGATTGTGTAGTACTCTGTAGTAATAAGGAATGGTGGGCTGTGTTCCCACACAGATCCCGGCTAGCTTACCCCGAAATAATTACACAAAAACTGTTTTCATTTAAACACTGCCTGACCCATTATCTCCAGTCTCTTACTGGCTAACTCTCACATCTTGACTTCAACCCATTTCTAATAATCTGTATGTCACCACGAGGTGGTGGCTTACCTGGAAAGATTCAGCATGTCTGACCTGGCAGCTGGTTGCATGGCGTCTGACTGACTCTACTTCTTTCTCCCAGCATTCTGTTCTGCCTACTCCACCTATCTAAGCTGCTGTCCTATCAAAGGCCAAGGCAATTTCTTTATTAACCTGTGAAAGTAACACATAGAAAGATGACCGACCCACCTACATCACGTTTGTCATTTGTTCTTTACTTAATATTGTTTATGTTGGTTGTAATTTTATACTTGATATCTGTGCCCATTGTATATAGTTTTGTATTGGGTTTGGATCACTTTTGTTTAGACAAAAGGGGGAGGTTATGGGGAAGCTTTTTTAACCAATGATCTTTAAGAGTTGGGACCAAGTTAGGGTGTGGCTTTTCAGGACCCCGAGAAAAATGGGCACACGGCCCAGGTGCTTTCTCTCTGTGGTTCCCTCACAGCACAGCTGAGCTTGGACTTCTCATTCCTGTTTGGTAAGTTTTCCCCTTATAACAAATAAAAATATAGTTGGTTTATCTTTTAGCTAGCCAGGTTATTTCCCAAATCGAACTAAATTCTATACTAGTTGACATTCTAGTTGACATTCTGTCGAGATGATTTTTTTACCAAACTAATGTCAAACTCTCATGTTATCACATTCTGCTCCATGTTTAGTTTAATTTTGTGGCTGGGTTATTTTAGCTTCCAATGAATCATATGAAGAATACCAACTCTTATTCGCTACTGGCTATTACATGTAAGACACAAAGTCTACTTTCTATACTATTAGAACTTTGTATTAAAATAAATGTTAAGCATGTTCCCCTTTATTTTATATGTACTCTTTCTAATTTTGGAGTGTTTGACATATGTGATACTGCCTTTCCTTTTTAAATCAGTAAAAACTGAGATTTTTATATAATTAAGCACTTCTTCATTCCCTTCAATCCCTCCAAATGTAAACATCCCAGTAGAGTGTAAAATTTCCTGTGTAACCATGTAAACTGTGGATGAGGCATATGCTGGGCTACTTCTACAGGCACATCAAACATAAAAATAAATTTTCTTTGACTTTAGTATTCATAGAGCCACTATACACAAGTTAACAGTTAAGCAGCATCTAGGTTCAATTTAAAAAAGAATGTAAGTTTATGTTTTATTTTTACCTAGAAATTGATTTTTATTGTGAAATCATGGAAATTCATAGATATAAAAGGAAAGTTATTCATTGTATTTCATAAATGTAGTATTTCTAACCTTCTGTAATGATTAAATATGAAAATTATATTATGAAAATCACCAAAGGAATTAACAAATAGTTACCCCCTATTTCACATGTATGAAAATGATTTCATTGTGCTTACTCTCAAATAATCTGATTGCAGTTATGTTGTAACTTTTTTATGTTTTCTCAACTTATTTAATCACAATTTTCCCATTTTTTACCCAAAATTGCACCAAAATAGTTGTTGCTCTCTTAGGTGTCCTGGGGTGTTGCCAAAAGGCTGTACAGCAGAGCATGGAATATTCACTCCAGAAATATTGAATGGGTAGTCCTAAGCCAACTTTTTTCATTTCAAATAGCTATCAAAAGACTGTGGTCAATACTTAGCATTTTCTTCAAAATAATAGTTCTAATGAGAATTTTCATGCATGATTGACATTTGGGAATTGATGGGTTATTGAATAATATCATATACTTAAGTCTCTGAAAACATCATGAATGTTGCTACAGCTATAATAAAAATTTTGTATATGAAATAACTATAGCATCAACTTCATTGGTAGATGTGCAAATATTGAATTTTAAAATAATTAATTCCCAATGGAAAAATGTGAATAAGTTTATGAACTACTATGCTAAATATGGATTCTGTTTTCCATTGTATCCCACAAGTATCTTACTATCTTTTTCTTTTGGACTATTCACAATACCTTACGTTCCGAGTAACATAAGGATTCACACATTTACATAATATTTGAAAAAGCTTGGTAATAAAATTTTCTTATTAAGGTAATTTAAAAACTTATTTTAGCAGTACAACAAGAGATGCTACTGGGAAACTGAAACAAGCCTTCCTGATCTCCTGTATGAATCAAGGCTATAAGGGAACTATGATTGCAAGCTGAAAACTTACAATTTTTGGAATGAGTCATAACTGTGATTGAAATTTGATCTGAAGAAATGAAAACTTAATACACTGGATATTATCAATTAAATCCCCTGGTGAAATGGAACATTAATCTCTGCTTGTAGAAAGTCAGTTCTTGAGGCAACAGTGCCTGCAATGAGTCAACAAAACAAATCAACCCTATGTGTTACTCAAGAGAAAATAAATGTGAAAGAATTAAATCGCTAATTTAAGGTAAATAAATGGCCATCTTGAAATTTTTTCCTTTAGCTAAGATTTTCAGAATACTGTGGAAAGGACAGAAAGTCCCCTGAGGGACTGGGCATTTACCTGTCTCATTGGAAACTTCATTTCCTGGGCAAGGAGTGCAGTCAAAGCAACAAGAAAGCTTGCCGTGCATGATGGCTTTCCGGAATCCAGGAGTGCAGCTCTCACTGCATACAGACTGAGGAATCTAAACAAAGTTTAATATAAGATACAAACACATAGCTCTTTATCACAGTCCAAGTAAATGATGTGTTTAGAATATAGAACTTTTGTCAATTAAAATTTGTATTTATAAATGTAAGAATTTGCTGTGCTACTCCAGGTTTCTATGTGGTATGACATACAAAGACCATTCTTTCCTAATCTACTTTGTAAGACTATGAAGCTCTTTATGATCTGCGGACATTTTGGAAGGTAGGACCATGAAGAGGTATAAGTTAGATCACTGGGGAAAAGTCTGTGGAAGGCATGTTGAAACTTCAGATTGATCCAGTTCATATCATTCTGGCTGGATAAATGAGGATGTTTTTCTTCTACTGTGACTGTGGTGTCTTCAGTCAGCTCAGTATAAATTAGTGCCAAAATAAGAACAAATTCTTGGACATTTCTGAGAATAGTTTCCTACATTATGTTAGTGGAGTTTTAATCACCTTCCCCAAATGGGTGCTATCATTTTGGGCAATTGAACAAAAATGGAAAGATTGGTAGTCAGTAGCAGCTATCACTCTCTCTTTGCTGCTTTTGGATGAAATCTGTACAGTTTCCTCAAATCAGTTCTGTCATGTTTTCCTGCCATGATGGACTCTACCTGCAGACTGTGATGTTAAAAAAAAAACAAACAACAACACAAAAACCACCTTCTTGTCTCATGTTGATTTAATCACCTACACTTTCCAAAAAGACAGGTAAGTAAAATATGGACACCCTACAAGGACATTTGTTCAACTATATTCATAGCAGCATTATTTGTAGTAGCCATAACTTGGAAACAACCTACATACCCCTTGAGCAAAGAATTGCTAAATAAAATGTGGTGCATTTACAAAATGGAGCACTACTCAGCAATAAAAATCAATTACATCTTGAAATTTGGATGCAAATGGATGGAAGTAGGAAAAAAGCATCCTGAGTGAGATAATTCAGACCCAGAAAGAAGAACATGGAATGTACTATGTGTAGGAGGTTCTTCTGTTCATGTGTTGCTTCCATTGATTAATGAATAAAGAAACTGCTTTGGGCCTGATAGGACAGAACTTAGGTAGGCAGAGAAGACAGAACTGAATGCTGGGAAGAAGGGCAGAGTGAGAGACTCCATGGATCTGCTGCTTAGATCCATGGACGCTGGTTAGAATCTTGCCGGTAAGCCACAGTCATGTGACAATACACAGATTAATAGAAATGGATTAAATTAAGATATAAGAATTAGCCAATAAGAAACTAGAGCTAATGGGCCAAGCAGTGTTTTAACTAACACGGTTTCTGTGTGGTTATTTCAGGTGAAAGCTAGCCGGACAGGGGAAAAATAAGCAGGCCCTCTCTCCTTACAACGGTACTCACTCATAAGTGGATGATAGCTGTAAACCAAAGGATAATGAGCCTACATTTCATGACACTTGAGAAGCTAGTGAGTAACAAGAAGAGCTCTAAGAGAAACATATAGATCTGCCTATAAAGGTGAAATATACAAGATCTCCTGAGAAAATTGGGAACATGGAGATAGGGAGAGTAGGGAGGGCTGAAGAAGAGGAGGAGGGGAGAAGTGAAGCGGGGAGGAGAACATGAGGGAACTGGGCAGTCGAGATGGGGGAAGGTCAGATATAAGAGCAATGAAAGAGATGTCTTGATTTAGGGAGCCATTATGAAACTAGCAAGAAACTTGGCAGTAGAGAATTTCACAGGATTCCACAAAGATTACCCCAGCTAAGACCCTAGGCAATAGTGGAGAGGGTGCCTGAACTGGCCTTGCTCTGTAGTCAGATTGATGACTCTCTTAAATGTCACCATAAAACTTTCATCCAGAAACTAATGGAAGCAGGGGCAAAGATCCACAGCAGAACACTAGGCTGAGCTCCCAAAGTCCAGTTGAAGAGTGGGAGGAGTGAGAATATGAACAAAGTGGTCAAGACCATGAGGGAATGCCCACTAAAACAGCTTACCTGAGCTAATAGGAGCTCACCAACTCTGGCCTGACAGTGAGGGAACCAGCATAGAACCAAACTAGGCCCTCTGAATGTGGGGGACAGTTGTATGACTAGGGCAGATTGTGGGGCACTGCCAATGAGATCAGAATTTATCCTATTGCTTATACCAGCTTTTTGGAACCTATTCTCTTTGAAGGAATGCCTTGTTCATCCTACATGTAGTGGTGAGGGCCTCTGTCCTGCCTCAACGTAATGTGTTTGACTTTATTGATTCCCGATGGGAAGCCTTACCCTCTCTAAGGAGTGAATGGGGTGTGTTGGGGAGGAAGGTGGAGGGAGAAGGAGGAGAGAGGGAGTAGGAACTGAGATTGATATGTAAAATGAGAAAAGATAGTTTAAAAAAAAAAGGTATGTCTAAATGTATGTAATTTTCATCTTTTAAATTAAAATTCATAGCTATTGAATAAATGTTTATGTATGTAAAAAATGGGAACCCTCTCACTTTGTTGTTCTGTTTGCCTACACTTAAAAAAAATGCCACCCAAGGATTGACTGTAACACTCTAAGTTAGGTGTCTTATTTACAGTTTACATAATTGTGATGAGACAGCATTCCTATAGCAAATTGTGGACAGAAAGGTTTATTTCGTCTTTCACTTATACACTACCAGTTATCATCAGTGAAATTAAGGACAGGACTTAAAAGCAAAAAAAAAGGAGATAGGAATTGAAATTAAGACAATGTAAGACTTTTGTTTAATTTCTGGTTGGCTAAACATGACTTTCTTAGCTGTATTTCTTAAACAACTAAGAACTACCTGCCACCACCACTCTCATTTTTATGCTTCCTCCCACATCAATCCTTTATCAAGGTAATGCTTGAGAGGTTTACATTTTGGCAAGTATTTTGGAAATATTTCCTCAATTGAGATTCGTCTTCATAGGTAACTCTAATTTATGTCAAGTTGAGAACAATTAACTAAAACCCTGAAAGTCAAAATAAGCATCCTATCAGCTGTTGTGTGACTATGATGCCACATCCTACTAAATCATATCTTGTTTTTAATGTCAAAATAAATGGATAATTAGAAACATATGGGAAAATATATTCACCAGAATGAACAAACAGTAATTTTTTATGTTGAGAGTTATAGGTATATTGATAAGTCCCAAGTTAGGAAGCAAGTCATCTGACCCAGAAAGATTGTTTTGTTATTAACATACATTAGAAACTTTTTAAAAAGACCCATACCCACCTCTGAAAATACTGTGGCCCATTGAATCATATGTTCAGATATTGACAATTGTTGACCTTGTGGAGCTCTGGGAGAAAATGTACCCACTTTCACCTGTAGTGAAAGACCTGTTGGGAAATTCCAAAGGTTGTTAATATCATATTCTGCATCTGACTTCTTTTTCTCGTCCAGAACCACAAGGTCTCCTACAGAATTTTTCACTTGAATCTTCTTCAGAAAAGGGTGAAGCTGAAAGAGATGTGAAATCCTGTCATAAAACTGGTATCACAGATGTGTAACAGAACTACAAATACTAAGTTGCTCCCTGATTGTGACTATGATGTTAATGTCATTTTAGAGAAAGTATCCACAACATTGAACAAAGGAAAGCCTAGAAGAAATTAGCTATCACTGAGTTTCTAAAATGTCATTTTCTATAAAATGTATTAACCCAAGCATTACTGTGTATAATCCTTCGTTACTTAAGGAGTATACAGCAAGCCAATCTCAACTTCTATACAAACTAGCTACCTTCTTGAATTTTCCAAATTTCTCAGATCTTCAGTGGGGGCCTGAAGTCACTTGAGTTTGTTGGACAATCAGGAATATTTAGGTTGTATTATCACATTGAGTTATTACTAAGAGAAGATGCTGTTTCTACCAAAAGGAGTATTCTTCTCTTAAATGACAACTTGAGCAGTATTACCCACACTCATCGTGTACACTGGCATGGGGGTGCACTGACATATAGTCCCCAAAATATTTAAAATCAACTCTAGTATAATTAAAGAAAAACAGGATTCTATAACGAATAGATCAACAGCGTTTATAGTATCTGGTGTCCTGTTTCTGATGGTGCAAAGCAATAAAAGGGACATTACCTGCCAAGAGAATGGCAGAGTTATATCTTTATTTGCCTCCGTTTGATCTTGAACTTGACTGAGAATCATCTCATGGAGACTGTGGGCCACTGCGTATGCAGCATTGTACACATTGTAACTCTCTTCAGTCATGGTCATGTCAAAAATGTTACCTGGCAACAATCCCAAAGAGGCATTGGGCAGACAGTTTTCAAAGATTTGACAATTAGAATGCAAAAGTGAGCAATTGAAATAAATATTCCAAAGGATATGAAGATAAATGTCTTCTGGGTATTTTGCAGGGGTGGCTTCCTGCATAAATTTTATGAAACCCAAAATCTCCCCATGATGGGGTGAAAAGATGAGGCTCCCATGGAATGAATCTAACATGGTATATTCATGAAACCTGTTACCACCCCATTTTGAGTTCATGACCCACACAAACCTAGATATGAATTTTCCCCATGTATTTACTATTACAGTTAAAAAGGAAGTACTGTCTCCATAAATTACAATCACATTTGCTGATGATTCTAGAATACGTGACTTAGTATGCACAGAATTATAATATACTGATTCCCCTAGAAATGACACTGTTTCCACAAAAGCTATGCAGACCCCATTCCTGTCCAGTTCTCTCCTTAAGTCTGATAGAATCTGAGCACCTCTGTGATCACTTGAGATGAGCACTCCAACCCAGTTCCAGCTGAAATGAAGCATCAAAGATGCAATGCCATGTGTTAGAGCTGTATCCTTTGGAGCCACCTGATACAGAGATGAAAACTGGTTTCCTTCAGTCAGAACAGGATCAAAAGGCCCAAAAGTAAGCTGAAAGGAATACAGTATTTTTACTAGTAGAACCAGTATTGCCATGAAGAGCAATCTTTATCTTTGTCTTTGATCGATGTGGCAGGGATGAAAATCTGCTCAACAGTTTTTAAAGTCATGTATCACTCTATGAAGTTTCTAGAAAGCTACTGGAAGGTCTCAGTGTTTCAGTCTACCCTCTCCACTGGTCATCTACTTTCCCACATTTTAAAGTAGAAAATATTGATGTGTCTTCATCTATATTTCTAGATTTTCTTTTATAGTAATTAAAATCTCTCACTATCATTTTGCACAGAGTTAAAATCTGTCGGCTATGTCACTCTCACCTGAGGAAATTTGTAAAGATGCAATACTGTCCCAATGATTTCAGATGTTTTCCATCTTGTTCCTGTAAGTAAGGCAGCTGATTTTCTCTCTTTTCTACAGCAGTAATTAGGGATGAAGATGCTCAGACCTGTGAGCCAATAAAACAGACTCTCTAGAATATTCTTTTCAGCAGGTATGAGATTATACACCTCGATTCCCAGAGAGGTGTTAGGTAAAAGATGGGAGTTCCTGTTGATTTCCTCGATGGCAAATAACATGGCCAAAATAAGCTGGTAGTTTTGCTCAATCATCCTGCATAGAAGTTATAGCATTAAGGTGGGAATTCATAACATTCAAATGAACAAATTTAAATGCAACCATTTCTACAGTTTGAAAGCATGTATTTTGTTATAACACATTGTAATTTTACATCTGCTAATGAATGGTTTTGATTAAAATTGTGTGATATGACCTTCTCCAAAACTATGAAATGCAATTGTTTCCCTATTAAGCCATAAGGTTCCTGAGACATATTGTTATGAATGAATCACCCTCATTAAGTTAAGTTATCTGTGGCAATTGTTGGATGTTTTCCAGTTATATATTTGTCATAAATGGCATGTGTCTATGCTGTGTATCAGTGTTTCTATCTCTGATATGTTTGGATACACATCTCTTGTGGGGAAAACTTTTCAATGCTTGTGCAGGAAATGCAGATGATAACTTCTCTGACTGTGTTTGTTTTTCAGTCCATGTAAGATTATGTGTCTTAGTTGTTGCTACTTCACATGCCAGTGAAGCTTCTGGGAATTTTTCATCTCCCTGATAGAGAACTCCCAATGCAACTATGCCCTACCATGCCCAGTGTGATTGGGTCCCATGGATTCAAAGTCACGTTCCTCACTGGTTTTGTCACCACTTTACATGCTCTGGCACCCCATTATTGTTACAATATAATGACTTGTAGTGAAGAAGATAGTATACTTTGGAAGGTTAAAAGTACATCTACAAGGAGGCAAATAATTAAAATTTCAACATGCAATGTATATAAAGCAAGGCTTCAGTATTGTATATTTTTCAAATTGTTCTGTGCTGGGGAACCCAAAATAATTGTTCATATCAAGACACCTTAGTTGCTTAACAAAATGCAATATTTTTTTTCATGTTGGAAATGTCCATTGGCAAAGAGATTAATTCATTTAACTTTATGTAAATAGAAAACAGACACTTCTCAGTGCCAAATGGTGCATCTGGATCCTCCTATTTGGTTCCTAAACCTTTTAAATGTAGGGCAGAGCTTTTTAAGATTGAACCATTTATAAAGGCATTCTAAATATTCTTCCTTATACCCACAGAAAACCGTAGCTCTCACTATACACTAAAGAACTAAAAAAAATAACAACAGTTGTCAAGGCAGCATGACCTATACTCAGGGGTGCCCAGGATAACTGATAAATATATCACAAATCTTTTGCTAATAAGCTTAGGAAGCATTGTGGAAGATGGACAGAAAGAATCTGAGAGTCATGGAACATGGAGATATGTGGCATTATTTGCCTTAGAAGTAACAGAAAAGGTACACACATGATACCCCAACAATATAGCTGCCTTTAAAAGAGCTCAAATATGACATTTATAGACATGTTTCCTAAGGGGAAGTATTCTCATGATGAGCCACTCTTAGACATAGGACAGCAGGCAACTAATTCCTATTGAGAACAGGATAAAATAATCATTTTATGGATGAGCACCTAACCAATTAGACAACCCCAAATACTCAGTTCCCAAACCATATGCATACAAGCAACATTAACAGGACTCAACAGGTAGTAGTTACATTGTTGTTTATATGTTAAACAGGTAACAGTAATAACTATAAAAAAGGAGCCCATAAATCTGACTGGGATTAATATGTGTGTATGAGAATGTATAAAAGGGTACAATGGAGACTTTGAGTGAGGAAAGCAATGAGTTAAGTGATACTACCTGATGACAATAATAAGCATATTTTTAACATGTGCAATTATGTTTGAGGATTTTGTCAACGTGAAAGCTTAAAATTCAGTGTAAATAGATTAGAAAGTGGAAAATATGACTCTTCAGAAAAAAAATCAATATAAAACCTGATTATTTACATGATTTTACCTATAAATGAAATAGAGATAAATATAGGCACAGAATCTAGAGCTCAATCCATAGGATAAGACAGTAAACTGAAACTATCCTCTATGTTTCTATATGTTTCCTCCACGACAGCATTTCATTGACAATCTGAGAAGGTATAGCATAGTATCAGAGTAACAGTCTATATAAGCATGAGACAAGCTACTGTGCTCCTATGAATTCATTTACAGTTCTCAGAAAGTAAATACTTCTACTTTATATTTCATATTTATTGAATTGTAATTTCTCATCTCTTAAGAATGAAAATAGGAAAATAAAATTGAATTACAACCTGATAAATACAAACGTCATTATTGTGAGTGATAATGCCAGTCTCACAGTCCATGATCTCTTTTACCATTGTAATTATGATTATATCTGTGCACATTGAACCAAAATGTGAGAAAAGTGGATTGATGACTAACAATCAGAAGAGTCAGATTTCAAAATGACTATGCACTCCCTAACAGTAATATAAAAGATAATATATATATATACATATATATATTATCTTCATATACCCTATCTTGTATAAACACAGAGATTTTGAAAATGTGTTACATAAGGCAAATATATTTATCATACACAGAAAATCAAAACTTCCTATCTCAGAATCCTATTTCTTTATGTCATGACATGTTATATCACCTGACAAGGATTATACTCCTGCTCATATTTGACATGCTGAACACTTAGAAATCTGTTTTACTGCAAATGTGTTCTTTGTAGGAAGATTGTTATTGCTATACTGACTGGAGGGACAAAGGACCTAGTGCATAGCGGTGCCTGAGCTGTTGAAATTGACAACAGAAGAAAAGAAGATTTAAATGTATAATTATCTCTCATAGAGATCAATATGAAATATTTTGCCTAGTTGTAAAATTTTGGATTTCTCTGATCATTTCTTTGTGTTTAAATGTTGGACAAAATGTGAAAGAATATACTCACTGCCTAACTATGTTTTACATCTGAATTATTTCCCTTCTCTGCTGTCTTGACTTGATGCTTCATCACAATACTAAGGTGCTAGCAACATATTGCAGTGTCACATACACCAGAACCCACCCAACACTTTCAGCATTCTCCATCATCTGACCTAAGGTAAACCTTGATTATGTATTATTATTTACTCATATTGAGTTCAGAGTTGAGTACCTGCTTTATTTCTCCATTTCAAATCTTTCTTTTATGTATTCCCTACAGTGATAGAACTATCTGCGTGATACCTTAATTCCTTTCAAAAGAATTGCACATGGTTATTTCTCTGTAAATAGTCCAAGATACCTGAAGCATACTAAACACACTGTCTAGATCTCTGCCCAAAAATTTGAGTGTCTAGGGAAGAGTCCTTAGTGGACATAATCTCACTGAATCAAGCAAAGATAAAATGAAAAAATATGGATCAAATAGGTAAATGATAAGAAAATGCCTGGGAATCTAAAATGTGGGGAATATTTATATTCAATACTCTGAGGAATGTTAAGGATATAAAACAGTAGGTGAGAGAATTAAACTTTTAATCCTGGCATTCCTGCACTTGAATCAGAAGTAACTGACACAGGCAAATCCTATCCTTATAGAACACAAGGAGGGATTTCAAAGTCACTGCTTTCAAAGGATTTATCTCTTCTAACAGAAAGACTTTTGAAATTCCACAATTTTCTGAAGTGCTGTGCCAAACTGCTGTCAACTACCCTTCTACTGCAGATCTAGAAATGAATGTTCTCAGAGTCTGAGGAATTAATGGAAGCACAAGATATGTTCACAGATTATAATTATCAAATATGAAAAACCCACTGAAATCAAATCTGTCTCTTCCCACTTGAGAGGACAAAAGGAGTCACCAAGAAAACAAAATTAAAGAGAGGATCTGGGGAGGACAGATAGTGAACCTCATTATCGAAAATATAAGCAATAACAATATTCAAAGCCACACATATTCTAGGACACACGAATCTTAAAAAAGAGTGATTCAATACATGCACTTACAATTCCAGATATTCTCCATCCGAAGGTCTTCTTTTCCAATCTATTTTTACTCTTTTTGGGAAGTAAAAATAAATAGAGAAAAATGCACCAATGGTCATAGAGCTATTATTGTGGAATCGGTATTTTTTTTCTGCTAGGCAGGAAGAGGTTACAGTTGTACAGATGAGAGTTGGTATCTGCAGAAAGCAGGAGATAATAATCCAAGATACCAGCATATTAATAGATGTATCTGCCAAGATGTAAGTCTTGGGGATCTGGGGTGCACAGTGTGTCACCTGTATATATGTATGCAGCTCAACTGCTTGTGTACATGTACATTTGCAATTTTGTTGATGATTGAATTTGTCACTCTACTCAGCCTGAGACGTTTCCAAGGATCCTTTCCACTACCACTTGAGAGTTCTGTGATTCTTTCTCCTTCAGGCCATGCATCTGAGGCACCATACTCAGTGAAAAACAAGTAATTGTATTAAGTGACATTTTCATTTCCAGCTACAAAAACAAGTATTTCCTCCAAGATTTCGTACTCCCTGGGTTGGGTTCTTCTGTGTACTTGACCACAAGGGTTTACTAAGGAAGAGTTCATGTGAGAGCCCTTGAGGATGATGTAAACATATTACATTAGCAAGCCATGTTTGTAAAAAAAAAAAAAAAAGAGCAGGCAAGAAAAGTCCCACCTTCGCAAATGTTCAGTTAAATTAAAGGGGGACCCATAGTCCCCAAACTTAATACTTCTGATCTGATCTTATGTTTACTTTTTATTTTCCTTTTGGTCTGATATTCTGTCTATATTCTGTCTATGATACATGCATATCTACTTATCAAAATTATGTCTATCCTCTGCTCCAGATAGCTTGTGCCTCATCCTTGGGAAACCAACTATGCTGTTGAACTTCTCACTACAGATCAGTTACTTAATCTCATTGCAGGAATCAAGTTCCTGGTTGCTCCTTAGCTCCTATTAGCTCAGATAAACTGTTTCAGTGAATGAACCCATCATGATCTTGACCTCTTTTCTCATATTCTCATTCTTTCCACTCTTCAACTGGACTTTGGAAGGTCAGTCCAGTGCTCTGATGTGGGTCTGTACACATATGTGTGTGCTGTTGTATTAGGGGCAAAAATGTTCAGGATTGAGACTTCATCTTGATGGATTGTT